AGATGATAGCTCTTCTTTTACTTCAGGAAAGCAGAAAGCAAGGTACTTCTTAATATCATCAGTGGAAGGTACATTCTCCACTACTAGTTGTATTATGTCATAGCGTAGGTCACCAAACTTAACACGAACTTCATCAAAACAACAATTGTATACTTCACTAACAAAGACTTCTTCAACTATTGATAGATATAAATAATATAATTTTATTACATATACGTGTATTATTATACCTGATGTGGTATTAGGCAAAGATTCATCAATTTCAATACTATTGGCTTTAGGAAATATCTCATCTATATTTTTAAAATAAAATTATTTTAAATTATGAATGAGGTCTTACCACAATCTTTAATAATATCTTGAGCTAAAGGTTTAGTTTCTTCTAATTCCATTAATATATTTCCTAGTGACCTCAGCTTACTGTGATCATCAGATACTGCAATCATTAATTCTCTTAATGTATCACTTAATGAGCCACCACATCTCTCAATCTTCCTTTGTGTATCCTCAGTGATTAATCCTTCTGTATATAACAACTGGATACAACTATCAGTGAGAGATACTTGTGATATTCTATCACTGTAATGCTGGAATATCTGACTAGCAGGATCGCCATCTATAAAATTTAAATTAAAGGTGAAAATCTTCAATGTATTTTATAATTATTGGTACATGTATCTTAACTTTACATGTATTACGGATGAGTGTAGCAGCTGGTTTCTGATTCATTCTCTCAAGTGCACTAGCTAATGATTCCCAAGTACGATTATTAGCTGAAGTCAACCACAAGCTCAAGCACTCCCTCAAGCAACGTGATGGACTATTCACATGAGTATCTTCAATATTCTTCAATTGAAGATAAGGTAGGTTTAACTCTTCTCCAAGATCAAACCAGTCAGCATCAATGAAGTGACTTTCCTTCAAAGCATCTCTTACTAATTTCATATGACTGATATCTATATATAATACACACAAACAGTTGGTAACTGATCATACTAGACTATACAAAGAAAGTAGTCTGGACCCACCACTTCACCAGCTGGTACCAGAATACATGCAATCATTTATAATATCAGTCCCCCTCTCTCTATTAAGGACTTACCTAAACGAAACACTCTTCTACTAGCCATTGCCATTGATCGCTTCTTTCACTTTACAAGCTAGCCACTCCTTTTTGCGTGGGTGTAGCTAGGTTTCACTCAATATATCTAATACGTACAGGAAATAACGTCATAATAATAATTGAATAGGTCCGTTTAAAAAGGGGTATAAAACGTATTTTTAAGGATTTTCAGTTTTTTAAATCAATATAACATTTCATCACTTAACTTGTACCTGGCAAAGTTTCAAGCTTTAACTTGAAGCAGAAAGGTACTTAAAATCACTTTGAAAATTACCCTCGAAATTACCTACAAGAACCACGCCTAAAAAAATTGGACTAGGCGTGGTTTTATGAAAACATGGCTGCTTGTTTTTTGCCTGTTGGGCTTGGATACTCGGAATTGGAACACTTGACTGAAGCAGCTAATGAACATTCTGCTACTGAAGAATTGGCTACTGATAAAGCAAAATTCAGAGGGAGAAAGAGGGTCAGGGCTTGCCCTAAAAAGAAGATTGGATTGAGAAAGAATGCCCCTAACACCAGCATTGAAGAAGTAATAAGCATTGGCTGTTGTATGAAGAAGTGTATTATGAAGCTATCTGAAGCGACACTGCATCAAATAAGAGAGAAGTTTAATATTCTAACATATGAAGAGCAGAATCAATATTTAGCTGGACTTATTATTCGACGAGAAGCTGTAAAATCGTCAGGTCACAAGAGAAAACAGAATCCTGCTACTGGAAAAAATGGAAACAAGACAGGTAGACCCCCAGCTGAAGAGGCTACTTTTACTATTGAGTATAACGTGA